ATTTGAACTGATGCCATTTCTGACTCCTGGTCTAGCATCTCTCTCTTTTCTGAGCTACTTGGCTCTCCAATGCTATTATTAGTACTCAGGAAATATAGCTATGCCACTGGATTTTGAGCTTTGTTTTCCATTTTTCAGGTCTCTCATTTATTAAATAGGGTTAATACTCCCTTTCCCCTAACAGTAACCAAATTAGTCTTTGCTGACACCATTTTTATTTCTCTCAAAACTTTAGCATTGTTGCTTAATAATTTGCAGAGGAGAGCTAGTGGCCCATTTTATAAACAGCAGTGAAGGCCATTTGAATTTGTACAGGAGATTTTGCCAAGGAAAGTGGACTGGCTAGAGGAGCATTATTAGTGCTCTAAAGCCCATCTTTTTGTTTTTTTAAGGTAATAGCCATACTAAAAGTATTTTAAGGGTTGTCATTTCGGAGAGGGATCAGACCCTGAGGGCATACCTGGGAACAATGGTGAAAGGTTGAGAAGAAGCCATTTAGGCTGAATAGAAGGAAATACATCCTAACAATTAGAGTTATCCAAACAGAAAACTGTACTGCCATGAAAGTGGTGGATTCTCCCTCAGAAGAGAAACTCCAGCAAAGGCTCTCAGAAAGGGATGTGTGGGAGGATATCTGTGTCCAGGGCTGGGGCAGACAAGATGGCCCACTAGTCACTGCCTGCCCTGAGATTCTGAGAATCACTAACTGATCTGGGTATGATCACATGGAAACCTTCAGGGCCAAAGAACTTAGTCATTCCCTAAAGAAAAGCCTAAATATTCCTAGCTATTTCCTAAGGATGTCTCTTTCTCCCTTAATGCAATTATTCCAAACTTTTTAGGACTTTACCACACATCTCTCTTAAAAGTTTCAGGTGACATAAGAATTTTTTCAAATTCTGATAATTCCAGTTCCCTTTATCATGCCCCTGGAGGAGCTTTTTGATACAAGTCTGGCACTTGCGGTGTGAGGCTAACCTTGGGACAGAGCAACACATCTGACCATCAGAAAGTAAACAAGGGAACACCAGTGGCAAGCAGGGAAATACAGAATCGGGTAACAATTTTTGCCACTACCTGGATCCCAATGCCACCTTGACAGTTCATCACTTGACTAAGTGCTCATTAAGGAACCAGATCCTTTCAACTCTTTCCTTGTCCAACAACTTCCACTGCAGCTGGAGAAGCAAAAAGGTTTATACAATTTCAAACACTGACACCCTCATTCAGCTAGGTACTTAGCATTTTTCCCATCCCCTCAGCCCACTTTATAGTTTTCTGCTCAACTATGTGTGAGGAAGGGAGGGGGAAAGCTGCCAGATTATCAGGTGTTTCCTGGCCTTTTCTTTGAGTTATTTTTATTTTTATTTTTTTATTCATGTCTTCTGTTTTCCCTATCTGGTCTCTACTCATGTGCAAAATGGGGGTAGTAGGCCATGAATGACAAGAATGGTCTTAAATAATGACAATGGTGGCAAGTTGCTTTGGAAATTCTACATGTTCTTTAAATAGATTTACTGTTAAAAGGCTTTGATGAAGATATAATCACTTATCCATATGAGAATGAAATAACTCACAAAAGCATATAGGTAGAATCATCTGAGGCTAGAAGGAAGGCAGCCCTGAAATATGTCCCATGTCCTGAACGGAATACCCTATGGTATATGTATTTGAGGTTATTTCTTTTTATGCTTTTCTCCATAAGAAAATATTCTGTAAATACCCTTATATACTTTCCATCTGCTAACTTCCTAATCTTGCCTTTCTCTTATAGAATCACAAAACTTTCAATCTGGAAAGACCAGCAGAGACCACCTGGTGTAACACCTTCATTTGGTACTCATAATCACGGCTCTGTAATTTCATCATGGGAGGAGGAGTGAAGGGGTAGTAAAGAGACTATTCTCAGGTGTTGCTGGACCAAGTAAACCAGTTTCTGGCCAGACTGGTGAAGAACTCTTGGGTGTTCACCTAGACAAGATATGGATAACAAGTGAGCAGCCCATTTCCAGGCCATACCCTGAGCCATTCTAGCTTAGGAGAACCTTCCACATCTCGACATAGACAGAGGAGGATCAAAGAAAATGTAGACCTAGAAAGATGAAATGATTTTCCTTAAATGACAGTTAAATTTTGAAAGAACCCAGACTAGATGAAACTTCTTTTGTCCGGATACCAGGCCTGAGACCTTAAGGAACTATTTATCCAATGGGTTACCATGTAGTTTCCATTTCTTGGTTTTTTTTTTTCCGCCTATCATCTGAATGGACCTTTTTTTTTTTTTTTTTTTTGCAAGGCAATCAGGGTTAAGTGACCTGCCCAAGGTCACACAGCTAGTACGTGTCAAGTGTCCAAGGCCAGATTTGAACTCAGATCCTCCTGACTCCATGAATGTACCTTTTTAGAGTATTCACCAGTGTTACACAAAACCCACTAGAACCATACTATCCACTACCACTTGTGAATCACACATTGTTATTATTCAAAGCTCTTGGCTGTGGTTTTTACTTGGCTCTTCTTGTCCTACCTGCTTTGGTTGGATTATTAAACTAGCTCTAGGCTCTCTCTTTCGTTCATCTCATTAGCAGAGATAAGCAAAATACTTGAATCCAGAAAATGCAGCTCATTTACTATGACTCTCTTCACTTCCCCAAACAGCTCAGAATAAAGTAGTCCACATGTGGAAGCTTTTAGTGTGACAGGGAGTTGCTAAAGAGGAGTACCAACAATCATAAGGGCTAAGCATGCTTCCTAGCTCCTTGTACAAAATATGGCAGCCCCGAGAGGGTGGAAGGGCGATAATCATAGGGGAAGTAAAGAAAGAGCTAATCATGTTCAGAAGACTGGTAATGAACGAGATACAAGAGCAGTCAGGGTACCTTACTCCACTTGCAACAGCAAATAAAGGAAAAAAAATGCTATTAGTACAATCGTTTGTTTTTCTGACCTGCTTGGCATCACTATATGATGCAGAATTGTTCAGATTTATATAAGAATTTTCCAGTTTTTCATTTTCTAAAGAAATTGAGTCCATTAGAATTAGCCCCCTTTTCATAAATGTAACAAAGTCCTTTTAGTTTAAATACTAATGAAAGATACTTCTTTGAAAAATTACACAATGGTAAATTTAATGGCCACAAAGAAATCAAAGCTCGCTAAAAGTTTGTCTGTAGGGTGTAAAGTCACCACAGTCACTACTGTCCTCAAGGTCTGGAATTCTTTCCATCTTCATCTCAGTTCCTGGCTTCACAGGCTTTTTTTACATCTTAGCTAAAACCCTACCTTCCACAAGAATTTCTCCACTAATGCTTGTGCTTTCCCTCTGTTTATGAGCTCTACTTAATCAGTGGATTGATCTTTTATTTGTATATAGATGTTTTCATGTTGTCTCTCCCATTAGACTGGGAGCTCCTTTTAAGAAGACTCTCTTTCTTTTGCTTTTCTTTGTGGCCCTGGCACTTAACACAATGCCTGACGAATATGAGGTGCTCAATAAATGCTTTTTGACCGAGTGACTGGAAGGTAGTGGAAGTTAGAAGAGCAAAAAGAATCATAGCACGACTAACTGAAATCCTAACATAATCCCCAATCCTCAATTTTGACCAATAGCTTCAGCTCTTCACCATCTAGTTCTGAATCAGGACGTCTGACAAGTAACAGAGATAAGCTCCTAATAACGTTCTACCTCTTGTCTTCACCCATTCTATTTGAAAACTGATTAAATGGTAAACTACTCTAAAAGGAGTAAGGAAGAGAAGCCAGAGCAGCAGCAAGGAACCAGGACAAGATGGAACCAGATGATCAGTGCATCAACTACCAAAGGTTAAAACAACCTCAAGTTGGTGACATGGAATGATTCTGTGAACCATAACAAATCTGTATACCAATTGAAGTATGAGCCAAGTATCAACTAATCCATGTTATTAACTAAATGTGGGATAATTATGAAGTAATAAACACTAAAATCAAGAGCAGGCAAGTAGTATTTCTATAAAAAAATGGAAACAAACAGTCCAAGTTGCTTTAATTAAACTGTATCAGCATAAGCATGAAAGACAATTTGTTCATTTCAACCTCCCAATAAAACTGAATTTTTTTGTTTTTTACAGTCAAGAAATGTATTAGAGTAACATTTCACTAAAGAGTTTGGATAAGATTTTGATATTTTACTATTGGGCCTTTAGTTTTAATATATAACTGATACTGCATTAAGTTTAGACACTGCTCTGAGTGATGCTACAATCTTAACTGGCTCAGAAAACGTTAAAATTTGGCAAATATTTAAGCCAAGATAGTCACTGTAAGATAAGTTGATAACCAATTTTAAAATTCCTTTCTGTCTTGAAGAGTCACAACAAAAAAGTTTGTGTGTTTTTTTGCTGATTTTTTTCTCTGCAACTATTTGAAGCTGTAAATGACTTAACTCAGTAAAATTCCAAATGTAATTATCTTCTGTACTTAGCCCAGGGCTTTCCATATATCTCCGCACTGCTGTCTTGCATACAAAATAGGCTTTTCGATGGCTGCTGGTAACTATATAATGTACAACATTGTTTTAATTTCCCCTCCTCTGCTAACCTCTTGCCTACACACATACGAGAGTACGCATAAATAAACACACACACACACACACACACACACACACACACACACACACACTATTCCCAAGCTCCAATTTCTGCCCAGATCAGGCCTGTTGTAGGCAGTTTGAGAATCAGCTAGTAAGTGAGAGAAAAGGAGCTCCTGCTACTTGACCGCAGATAATCCAGAAAATGGATAATTGAGAGATGGTTGCATACATATAAATATACTTTAAAAATTAATATTGTACTTTAGAAAATAGAAATGAGACTAAATGTTCTTGAGGGTTTTTAAAAATAACAATAGGTTTTGAAATCTCCTGTTCCATCAATAATGAGTGGACCAGAACTCATTACAGCACTGTAAAGATTTGGAATTTGATTAATATTGAGGTAATATTAAAATAAATGTTCTTTTACCTGGAGTTCTAACTGCTGTACAACCTGCATCTGTACTCTACATTGAGCTGTACTTCTATCGTCCAGCGCATGCTCATTGTTGAGATGTCTGCAACAATACACAGAAAATCAGTAAGTGAAATGGACAAACAGAAAGGAAAATCATTAGGAAGGGGTGTCATCAAACTGTTGATTCTCTGGCCCACGCCCCAATCCCTCTACTGGTGCATGGCCTGCCTTGCTGGCCAGCTGATCACCACTGACAACTTTTTTATTGTGTTACAACTCATTGAGAGAAACTTCCTTGAAAGAAAAATCCTACCGAGCATGTGTCGGCCATTTACCCTGCTGAAAGGAAAATTAAGGGGGAAGTAGGGGCCACACTTTAAGACTACTTAGGTGGTCATTAAGTACACTGCAGGCTAGAGTAAAAAACAATGCAGATTAATTGTATATGGGAGACCGGTTATATAAATGTGCCTCTAAGGAAGAGTCTTATAGAATTAATGGGTCACATTTTAATTATGTATACATTTTAATGCGTAAAAGTGAATGTAAAGAAAAATTTGCTCAAGAATGGGAAATACATTTTAATCACATGGTATATGAAACATGAATGAACATATGCAAAAAAAAAATTATACCATTAAAGGAAAAATAAAACAACGAAGCATGATTTCGGGAAAAACAAAACAAAACAAAAAACAAATCCATGCTTGAACTCGAACACAAATTTAGCACATCTCCTGAACCCAGTTCATTTTACCATTTTCTTATATGAGTGAAGTCAAATCTTAATTATTCAGGGGCTGGTTAGCCAGGTTAAGGATATCTGGGCCTCATGTGGCTACTTCTCTGATTATGCCTACCCCCTTCCTGGCTATTTCCCTATTCATTAGAACTTCCAACAGAGAAAAAGTAACAAAGCAAAACTCAAATTAGTCCATTTTTACTGTCAGCAGAGACTCTGACATAAGGTTTGGTGAAGGAAGATTGAAATTAGTGGCTAAAATAAAATTTGTGAATTATCAGTAGATCCCATATACCTCATCATTATGGATAATGAAAAGCAAATTATAAAATGAGCTATTTGTAGGTCTGCTATAACAAACAGAGAAGGTAGGAAGGCCTGTCCTTGTTATGCACTGGCTGTGTGATCCAGGGTGAGTCACTTAACATGGTCTCAGGGTTCCAGGCAATTCTGTGACTATAAATGACAAAGAAGTTGCTGACTTGCATTGATGGAAGTTTCCTGCTCCTGGGAATCCCTATACAAATGAAACTACAGGCCTAGTCTCTACCCCTACAAATAAGGTGTCATTAGATTTTAGACTAAAACTTTTTATTTGAATTTTAAAATAAAACAATGATGTGAGGAAGATATGAGCAGGGGGGTCTGAACAGGAATAGAATTGATAGGATTTGATGACTATCATGTATGTCAAAACAGCCTGGTTACATGGTTCAATTCATCAACAAGCCTTAATTTAGTACTAATATTATGCAGTTAATTGTTCCCAAGAAATGAAATCATCTAAATACTAAAACTGTCCTCTTAAATATAGAAAATACGTCATAATTCGTTAGCAGCTTATACCATCCAAGTGCTTAATACTGGCTATTTCTCATACATGGAAACTGTGAACAAAGACATTTAACCACAAATACAAAATGAATACAAATTCTACAGATATTAATACTCATTTATATCTGCAACAGAGTAATTCAGAACCATTTCAAAAGGAAACATTATGGTGTATTCCATTAATGTACTGCCAAGATAACACCTCAAATCTATAGTGCAAGTAACAAATGTATTCTGTCATATTAAGGAAACAAAGCAAATCAAAGTGAGAGGTCCAAATCAAAGTTTTTTATAAGTTGCCTCTGTTATCTTGAAGAGCACAGAAAATTTGAATTCCCTGGTTTTTAGACCTCGGTGGGGCATGAAAGATCATAAACTCCAGTCTTATCATTTGATAGAGGAATAAATTTGGGCCCAAACAAGTGAGCTGACTTGGCCCAGCTATCAGCAAAGAACCTAGACTTCCTCACTTCCAGTCTTGAGCTTTCCCCAACCACACAACACATGTATTCTAGTTGAGAAATAAAAAATGTTTTAAACAAAATTCATTCTAATAAGCTCTGTATCTCCTGTGGTTAAAGAACGCTGGCTAGTTTATCTGTTGGACCAATTAATCGTTTCAGGTAGGTGTGTGTGTGTGTGTGTGTGTGTGTGTGTGTGTTTTTGGGGGGGAGGGCTTTGTTTGTTTGGTTTTGCAAGCTACTAGAGGAACTATTGTGAAATGCCCAGAAGTCCATGTATATAACTGTATTTCTTTCAGGAGGTTTCACCAACTCTCAAAATTCTGCAAAGGTTTTAGGGAAACCCTCAGAAATTACAAAGCATAAATACACAGGGCCTGGCCAAGAAAACACAGCCTAAGCCTAAAATGTCCAACAGTAGAAACAACCCAAACCTTTCTTTTATTGATTTGTCTCATCAAACACTGGTCCCAGA